GTTGTTACATTGATATACCGGGGTGTAGGTTGTTATATTGATATACTGGGGTGTGGGTTGTTATATTGATATACCAGGGTGGGGGTTGTTATATTGATATACCAGGGAGTGGCTTGTTATATTGATTACCAGGGTGTTGGTTGTTATATAGATATACCGGGGTGTGGGTTGTTTTAGTTATATACTAGGGTAAGGATTGTAATACTGACCTCTACTGTAGAAGAGGGGATGGCGTCCCTGGAAGCGGATGCAATGGCCAGCGAACCGATGACCACGATGGCAACTGCCGCCATCATAATACTGACCGCCCTCATGTTGTCATTGTCAAATCTAAGAGAGATAGAAAACATTGATATAAATGACCAACATAGTACTGAGCGTTTTCGTGTTGACATTGTGAAATGTTAGAATGATTAAAAAACATGGATAAAAATGATATACACAGACTCACAGACATTCTTACACAGTCATTTAACGCATATGATCCGTAGCTGCAGCCATATGTAATATATGTGTCATACAGCAATTATGGAATCTAAGGAGGTTGATAACGTTTTTAACAACCAGTAATGACGTCCATAATGCCCATGCTAGCGGCATACAGTATATACAGTGAAGTACCGTGTATGTGGACAGTCAACTGTCACCTGTGTACTTTGTCCAAGAGAAGGAAATACAGTTCTATCAAGACGACTAATTTTCACAAAAAATGTTGGAAATTTCGAATACATTACGTTGAAGGCATGAACCAGCTGTTGTTGACAAGGGATATTAAGGGACAAAATATCGAAAATGAAAATCCCGTGTCACGGATTACTTCAGGCCAAAGACTCTCTCCCTCCACCACTTACCTGTCAATAAGATTCAAATTAAATTATGCAAAAGTTCCACGATATTAAAATAGTTTACCTACATTGCACACACAGGCATCATTGCTGTCACGAACACCTCCCACGCTGAACACATGAACGCTGCATGGTTTCATATGTAGAGTTAATCTCTCAGCGGAGTGGATTATAAAACTGCTTAAATATTTGCCTTGGTGTTGTAAGCGCCTGACCTTAATTAACACAATGAAAGCAATATGCCGCACTCAAGAGAGACATACAGGGTACACGCCGTGAATTGTTCAAAAGTTTGGTCACTATGACACCTACAAATTATTAATGCAGGGGAGTTTCCTGGGTTTCATGGTCAAGCGATATCAGAGGGTTAACAGTGGTCTGTGCAGTGTGTTAAAGTGACATCCTGTAAAGTTTTAAACAGGGTTGAGAAGTTCACGCAGTGATGTGTATTATTTGCGTTAATAGGAATTGATTCCCCATGTTTTCATGTGTTATGATATTGTACATGACGTGTCTAACGACTGATCTAGACAGACATAGGGCACTTTAACACTGGCAAGCCAGGAAATGGTTAAGTACGGGCCTAATGGAATACGAACTTGTTTCCCCACATTTCTGTTACTCTTACAAATATAAATTAAGCCTCCATGCTGAGATCTCGGGGAAAGGGTGCAACTTTATCTCTCGTAGGTATTGCTGAACTTACTGTTTTGTCTTAGCGCGGCGACCGTGCATCTTAACTTGTCTTAGAAGAGCTTTTTATCCAGCATGGTAACTATTGGTCATCTACACTGTAATGTGGATAAACCCAATGTCCGGCAGTGTCCAGCACTGTGACCGCGTCAAGATGTCTGTCTACCTCGCTTCTGGCGCTCGGTGATATCAGTTATATAGAATATGGTAGAGAAATACATATATCTTTGCTCTAATTAAGATGACAGACTGTCCACTTTATCCACTTCCAGTTGATGAACTCTGCCAATCCAATCAGTTTTAGTGTCTAGTCCGACACAGTTATGTATGTTTCGAGTCCCTTGACAACATTTAAACAGAATGTTCCGAACTTCCGCGACATCTTAATAGCACAGTGTAAAGTCATCGGTAGCTTTCAGCTGTCGATATACATCGATTTCTTTAATGCAACCTTTATTGTGACCGAGATTTCCTGCGCACGCCATTGACTGGTCATTATAGTCTATTAATAAAACATACTGGGTGTGATTTTGCTTAAAACAGTTCCACTAAAATCTAGTTTCCATGCCAACTAAAAACTGAGAAATTGTTAAAGTCATAAAATCAATATTGAAGGCGTTCAAGTCTCTGTACTACTTAAAAGTAAAAATTGTGATGTGGTGGCATTGACGGTTTGGTATACACAAGGCAGACATATTTGAAACTCAGGGTGACAGAAAGGCTATGTCGTGGAGAGGTCAGGGTGACAGAGAGACTATGTCGTGGAGAGGACAGGGTGACAGAGAGGCTATGTCGTAGAGAGGACAGGGTGACAGAGAGGACAGGATGACAGAGAGACTATGTCGTGAAGGGGACAGGGTGACAGAAAGGCTATGTCGTGGAGAGGACAGGGTGACAGAGAGACTATGTCGTGAAGAGGACAGGGTGACAGAGAGGCTATGTCGTGGAGAGGACAGGGTGACAGAGAG